TTGAGCATGACTGGGGTAAGATGTAGGCATTGAAGATGAATAAAAAAACTTGATGGACTGGCAGTCTTGCAAGAATGCTTTCTTTGCTATTCCAGATGATTTTATTATTAAGTTATTTGAGTTATTGCAGAGATGTATGAATGCAGTTCTCCAAGCTCATGGGAGTCATACACAATATTAATTATTTTTCCACTGTACCATGACTTTATTTTCTATACTGTACATTATTTCTGTTAAGTGACAAGACTACAGTCTAAGCAAAATCAGAACTTACTGTCCTAATTAAATAGTTAAAAAAATGGCATGATCATATTTTATTTTGGTAAAAAAAAGCACAATCTAGAGGCCTTTGTCTTTCATATCAGCCACTTCTGATACCAAATGATCAACTAGAAGTCAAGTTATTATTAAAACTTGGACAGGCGACAAGATGGGTAGTGTATATCCATCTCAGTATAGGTAACAAAATGTTAAAAACAGTCAACAGATTTTAGGCTTTAAAAAAATAGAGCCATTCTTAATTTCAGACAGCTGTTTTACATCAAATAATCAAGTTAGACTGTGAGAAGGTCCCTTACTAGGGTAGAGGGGTTCCGTGTGCAGACTGTTTTTGCTGGCACCTTTCTAAAGCTCTTTCTTTATAAAATTACATAAATAAAGCACATTATGAAACATCTCTTAAAGTGAATGACATGAAGACTAGCTTTATGCCAAAGGAGATTACTTTGGCTTTGTGGAAATATTTTTAAAGTGCTTATGGAAAGAGCACAATGTGTGCAAAGATATCTTTTTCTTGTGGTGAATCATTTTAGATGTTCCCCTTCAGGTTCATCTCCATGCTCTCATAAACCAGAATAGGCTTCATGAATATGTATTTTTAGAATCTGCAGTCATGCAGGGTGGTGTGTCTGTACTTAATTATCAAGCTGTATTATCTAACCTTTCACATATTTAATTAAAACACCTTAATAAAAATGGATTTTATACTTTTAAGACCTTATGATTTATCACTTCCTATTAAAATATTATTTTAAAAGAGAGATTTGTGAGGGGTGTACTTATATATTCTGAGTACTGTATATCAAAATACAGGCTGTGACAAGAACCCACCAAAAAAAATAAAAAGTAAAATAAAATTCCTTTATCCATCATTTTAATTATTCTTGTCGCACTGATATACATTTGTGTGTTTACCCTATATGTCTGCCAGCTTTTTTAAAAATGGAATGTAATCGTGTGTTTAGGTCTGCAGGATCGTGAGCAGGATTTTGATACATCACCCTTTCTTATGATCACTAGAGCTCAGACTACTAATCCAAACAAGAAAAATTTAACTACACTCTTCTATGGCAGAAGAAGGTTGTTAGTTTTACCTTCTACCATCATGTATTTCAGTAAGGATGAAAGCAACATCGGTTTCTTCTTTGTTAAAAATCCCATACAGTAATCTGTAAACAATTATTGTAACAGGTAAAAACATTGTTGGCTGAACCCTGCATTACAATACAATTTGCAGGAAAGAAAATGTGGCTGTCACAAAGACCCCAAAAGGACAGAAGCAATATATAATTGTTAGTGTTTTTTTTTTCTTTCATTTTATACTGATGCTTATGTTATATGATGGGACTTACCGAAACACAATAATTTAGAAGTTGAATTGGATTTCATCTATCTTCCAGGAACACAAGCTCTTGCTCAGCAGAGCACCAGAACAACATTGGCAAACACACACTCACTACAGCGAATCAGCCAATCACTAAGGACCTCCCGAAGAGTCTTTTTGGCTAGTAAACAAGCCTTTTGAGTTTGTAACCCACCTCAAAACATCTATTTAAGTGTTGTTTTCCCAAATGTTCCATTTTCAGCCAGACCATCTTATCACTATCTTTATTAGGAACTGCGTCATGTTTTGGGAGTCGAATTGATTGAGTCACCATGTTCAGCAAATGAAGTTATCATAGATTTTCCAATACTCATCTTCTGCATGGAGGGATGGAGAGCTGAGATATCGAAGCGTCCTCTGCTATACGGCTTGATTTCAGTAGTAGGAACCCAGGGAGAAGCTAAATCGCTATCACAAACTACACGCATAGAGCACAGCAGAGGTTAATTGCCATTTCCTTCTGAGGATGTTTACCAATAACTTCAGTGTTTTCCTTTTCCATCTGGTCACTCAAGCTGTTTTCCAGGATTTCACAGTTCAATAGAAAAGCTGAGCGAGAACGTCATCGTTGTCTTTCGGTGTCAGGAAAGTGCTTTTACTCTGATGTGCTAGCCAAATGCTTAAAGTAACGAAGTATTAATATTATGGCTAACAGATGACACTCTCCTCCACTTACATTCTTTGGTTTTAGCATCATCTTGGTCAAAACGATCCACACTTAAGATATCCTAGAGGTAGAATTACACATCACCAATAAAGAGTTTATACGGTAACCAAATGTCTGCGGCATAGCTGTACAGAACATCATTAGGCGCACTGCGCACCCTGAATCTTTATAAACTCCATCCTGATGTCTCACTCACACTGATTTCGCACATGCATAATTCAAGCGGGATTGGAGAAAGCATATGTAAATTGCAAAAATGAAGCTGGGAAATTATTCCGAAATTGCTCCAATGACAAAAACAGGTTCAAACACACTGAAGCGGTATACAAACTGCAGCCACAGATTTGGACTGCGTTCAGAGCTTTGAAGCAAAATAGGGGTGTATTACTGCGCTGAACGCTGTGAAGCTCTAGGTTTCCGAGTTTGAAAGGAGGCCTGCAGATGCGCCGATTATGTGTGATGAAAACCAGAAAGAATTGCTTCAGTGACAACAGCTTCAATCAACATGCATTTTGATTGGAAATTAGGTGCAAGTGCAAAAACCATATGCACCTTAACTAGCACATAAAGTAAGTGTGGCACATTATGTAAAGAGCTGGTTAATATAGTCACCACAGGGTGATGAATTGCAGGTGATTTTCAAATACATTTTGTCAGTAAAGCCAATTCTAGTAAACTCCAGCATAAGCTTTTAGATGAATCGGGGCATTTTCCATCCATTCCATTTCTGTTTTGAGGCAAAAAAAGGAAAACTAAGAAAACAGATGTTTTTCAGTTTTTTGTTGTTCACAAAAAACAACAAAAAAGAGATTTTGGCTTGATATTTGTTTTTGGTTTAGCGTAGGAAATGGATAAACAACTTTAAAAATTCATTATTCACATGTATGCGGTGCTGAATTGCCCTTTTCCTCTGATTGGTCAACCAAATCTGAGCTTGTGACATCACCATCAAAATACTAGTCCTCTGCAGATCAGCCCCCACGTGCTTTTAATTATTATTTTTAATTACATAAAAAACTAAGTTTACATATTCTATCATTTGATCAGTTAGCAGGCTTACATTCATTGCGATATGCATACATGAAACAAAAACGTAAATTATTACACATTAGTCATTAAAATAAGGTCATAGTTTGCTGCCAAACGTTTTGTTGCTGAGCACGTGATGCTAAGCAAAGATGGCTATTTCCGAGCAGAAATTGGTTTGCATGATTGTTTCTGAGCTACTGTAGGACCAGAATAAGAGCACATTGGGTCCTGGGGTTATAACAAAGGGAAACATTTGTTTATTTTATTTATGTACTATATATGTTTGTATGTTTGATAATATATTTTTTTTTCTGGAGAAAGTCTTATTTGTTTTATTTCAGCTAGAATAAAAGCAGTTTAAGTAAAAAAAAAAAAAAAAAAAACATTTTAAGGTCAATATTATTAGCCTCTTTAAGCTTTTTTTTCTGATAGTCTACAGAACAAACCATCGTTATTCAATAACTTGCCTAATTACCCTAACCTGCCTTTCTTGTTAACCTAATTAACCTAGTTAAGCCTTTAAATGTCACTTTAGGCTGTATAGAAGTGTCTTGAAAAACATCTAGTCAAATATTATTTACTGTCATCATGGCAAAGGTAAAATAAATCACTTATCAGAAATTAGTTATTAAAACTATTGTTTAGGAATTTGTTGAAAAAAAAACTTCTCTCCGTTAAACAGGGGACTTACAATTCAGGGGGGCTAATAATTCGGACTTAAACTGTATAGAACTATTATTTTTTGAGGGTGGTGTCACGAGCTCAGATTTGGTTGGCCAATCAGAGGGAAAAGGATGTTTTAGCACTGTCTACATGTGTATAATGAATTTTAAAGTTGTTTACCTGTTTTCCAACCCTAAACCAAAAAAACTAAAGTCGAACAAAAATCTCTCTTTTTTGTTTGTTTTTTGTGAGCAAACGAAAAACTGAAAAACAGCCATTTTCTTAGTTTTCCTTTTTTGTTTGAAAACGGAAATAAAATGGACGGAAGATACCCTTATTCAAATGGAGCAATCTTTAAGCTCTACAAAAATCACTATACAAAAATGATTTAATCTTTCAATAAGGACTTTGAGATAATTGTTCTGTGATAATGACAGCTGTTTGCATTGCGTGGAGCTGTGTGTAGTAAATGTGTGTAGCTCTTTTTTTTGGCTTTGTGGTTGTTCATCAAGACGGCAAGGTTTGTTTGAGCTCGGGTGGACCATGGCTCGTTATTGTACATATTATTACAGTGTAATGTCTCGGTTGTGTATTTAAAAATGGCACTTCCTTTGTTTTTATTCTCCTGGCTAGTGTCTCTGTAACCAATAGCGTTCAGCTGTGCGTCTCACTCTGCTTTTTGGTACCCTTTTGTTGTGGTGCCCTTTAGAAAGGGTGCCCAAAAAATGGTACGGTACGGTTCGCTTTTTGGTAACTTTTGACAGTGGAAACAGCCACATCGAACTGTACTATACCGCTTAGTTTAGGAACTTGAGTAGCTTTTGAGTTATTTTGCAAAATCTTGATTTTTTTTATAACCAGCTGTTATAAAAAAGATGATGTGTTGTTGTGAATATAGTATAGTGAATAGTTCTTTTCTTAGTCTGAAAGGCTGTTAGTAGTCACACACACAATTCATTTAGCAGGCAAGTCAAAATATATGCATTCTTTTGTCAGGGCACACCAGTTTAATACTTGTGCTTAAAAATCAAATAGCTGTTTAATGCTTTATTTTAAAGAGATATATAATCGTCATTATTATTATCATTATTATTAATATTAATAATAATAATAATATAAATATTTCTACAAATACATGGATCCCGGCACTTTGAAAAAATGTTTCCTTTTTTGTCTTCGTTAAAACAAGAAAGCTAAAAATATCCTATGGTGAAAAAATAAAGCAAACAACAAACGTTTGAAACATTGAGTAAAAGAGAAATCACAAAAAGACACATAAAACCATAACGCAATTGAAAAAAGAAATTCTACATCCTTTACAAACACTATGGCCCAATAATTTAAGAAAATAGTGTCTCTAAAACGTTCATATTGCTTTGTACCTTCATCAGTGCCCTTTAGGGAGTTCAGCAATACAGTGCTGTGAAGTCTTCACGATGGCCAGAAGGGGGACGCCTTGCCCTTCTCCGAGCTCTACGCTGACCTCCACCAGGAGGTCTTGAGGTTGCCATCATAACCGCTGACATCTTTGAGGAGAGAGTCCTGTTAATAGCTAGTTTAATCCTCAGCGCAATGTCTTTATGTGTTCTTTTGGCAGTAGAGAAAAATACAAGGTATAGTTACTATTCCTCATGATCATGGAGTACTCACCATTGTTGCATTTAGCATTATTACTCTCTAAGATATTATTACTATTACTATCACCATCACGGATACACCGAGTGTATCATGTGTCATGTGCGCATGTGTGATCGTGTGAGTCAATGTTCAGTGCTCAGAGCTTGTTTTCTCGAAAGAGAAGCTAGGCAGAGTCAATAGCTTGGAGTTTGGAACGCCCTCTTGAGGCAGCGCCTCTCCTCCTCCCAAATCAAACGAGTCCTTGGATTCACTGGAGGGAGCGCGCCTCCTCAGGCAAGTGTCCCGGCTTGGCAATGGAGGTGGCACAATCCCCAGAGCAGGATGGAATCCTCCCGGAAGTTCCGGATCCTCGGGTGGATCTACAGAAATGCACGGTGGACTCATCTTCTTCTTGCGTCCACGGGGCGAAGATTGTTGCTGGAGGCTGTCGGCTCGTGATACAAACCCTGACGATATGGAACTGCGCTGCGGACTGCTTTCTACAGACGAGCATACTTCGATGGAGTGCCGGCGTGGGTCATCAAGCCATGACAAGGGCCGCGGTAACAGCAGAGCTCGCTGGCCTTGAGTGTCCACGCTATGGTATTTCTTAAGCTGACGTTTTGCACATTGATCTCCTGTCCCTTCTCGGTTGACATCATCGCTTCTCCCTGTGAGTCCCGCTCGGATAATTCGAGATACCTCCTGATCCACCGAGTCAACATCCTCCTGCTTCTTATAGTCTGGTGGTGGTGGTGGTACAGGTGGAGAGTGGGAACTCCTGGAGAACACATTGTACTGGTCGTAGGGGTTGTGCTGCGTGTGGACGCTAGGTCGTGAAGGTTTTGGGGAGGCGCCTGGTGTGGCAGGGACCAGAAAGAGGGAAGGCTGGTGCTGCTGCTGCTGAGGTGGAAGGGGGTCCGACAGTTCCCTGAGCCCCAGAGGACCCTCAGCTTCCCCTCCCTCTGTGTAAAGCGTCTCCTGAGAGTCAGCACTCACTGCCACCTGAGGAGAGCAGGGACGGGGGGAGGTGAGGGGAAGGTAAGGGGTAACATTAGGGATTAGGACATGAACAGGTGAAAGGGAGACTGGTTAGTATGAGATGTTAAGGGGTGTAGAAGCAAGTGGAAGGGAAGGGGAGCCATGGAGTTAGAGTGGAGTTCACCATTAGCATTGCACTCCACAAGCTCTCTGCTTCGAAGAATTGGAGGTGAAATTAGAAAAATAGATTGAAAAAACACCTAGGGCGTCTTTCTTGAATGCATTTGCGGCCCCCAATCAGAGGTAGCTATCATTTAGAGTCTGATGTTCTTCTTCTTGTTAAAAGTTTGTATCAAACTTGAAAGTATCAAATGAAGTAACTCACCACAAAACATACCAAAATGCCACAACCGACATAAAAAAATAGTGCTTAAATTGTGCTAGAAAGTTCATTAAAACGTGCTTAAGTAATATCAGTTGCACATTCTGAAGTAACATTCCTAGTTAAGCAACCAGTGAACCACTAGTTAAAAACATTCCCAGTCCCTTACTTCTCATGGGCGGTCCAAGGCATGGGCTTCCAGGACTTATACCACAATTTGTTTTTTAAAGTCATGTAATTCTGTAGGCATCTGCTGTATAAATCAGACATAATGAAGAAACTAGAGTATCTATTGATTTTTCAGTTGGAGTTGCACTCCATCCAAATGCAATAAGCACTGACTTCTTCACGGACAAATTAAATATACATTTGTATTCAAGTCTGACCACTGACAGCCCTTGGCAAATAGTTTTATATAAAAGGCATGAACTTCCCAAACTTCACATTTAGTCTAACAACTTTTTTTTTTTTTCTCTAAAACCCTCATTTAAATAGCATGCTAATTTTATAAACACTTACAATGCCAAGTGACTATGAATGAACCCTGAATTAACTAAATTTGGGCATTCAGCCAGGTAAGACTTTTTTTTTACTGTTTACTCCTTAAAAATGATACATTTTAGGTGACATTTTTAGGTATTGTTAAGCATATAATACTAAAATATTTAAAATAAAATGATGATACATCATATGCAGTTTGGGATGAGCCCCCAAAACCCACTGACACTTGAACTGCCCTTGATTCTTCATTGCATCCACTGATTAAAATTTCACTGTGTGCACTTTCAACCAAATCAGTAAGTGTACAGTTTACTGGAGAAATTAGCAAAGATTTTTTTTGTTATTGTCTTCATGTCTTCTCTTTGATATGAGCTAAGCTGAAGAGTACTAAACTGACACACTGCCTGAGTAGCAGTACTGTACATGCTGCTGCTGCCGCTGTGGGTGAAGTCACATAGGTGAAAACTTACAGTATCAATTGCACTTTCAGAGAAAAAACGTTTGTAATAGGTTTATTGTTTTACTGTAACTAGGGCAGAGAAACAATTACCCTAGGGCAAAACTACAGGCACTGTTTGGCAGACTGCACTCTGAGCCACTGGGCTACTGCAAGACCACAAAACCCATGTCTCTTCCTAGAGTCTCTCTTCTCAGAACTCTCTCTAAAACTCTGTCTTTATTTTATGCGAGGGAGTCTGAGAGAAGCACCAGCCCAGTAGGAGAGAGGTGGGTGGGTGGGTGTTTTGGAAGGGGCTAAAGGTCAAGAGGAACCGTGTAAAACTTGTAAAGTTGGTCAATATGAAGTACTGTATGAGACCAAGCAATGAGTGTCCCTGTTTCATGTCGAAGCTTGTAGGATTGAAACTATGCTGCCCTCTAATGGCAGGAAACTATTTTTACATAAGGATGGCAAATTGCTTGCAAACTGACTAGAAAAAAAAAATAGTTATAACATTAATTTTAATACATATTACTTGAAAAATATATCAGATATATATATTAAATATCATTTACACAATTACACAATATAATATATTGTTAAAACAATAACAGAATACTAACATAACAATGTTTTTTTTCTTTAAAATATAAATGAAATTCACCATTTTAAATTAAACGTATGTTCCTTTTAAAGACAATCGAAAATAATTTTTTTGAGTTGGCAACTAATTTGAACATCTGAGCCTACTGATTATACAAATAAACTTCCCCTTGATCTTTACCCTACAGTTTTGGTCTTTCCAGTAGCCATGGTGAAATGCATCGGGCTGGAGGAACGGGGTTTAAGGGGTGTGGTGGGAGAAAGCGGGACAAAGTTGGGGATGGAGTTCACGGATCTGTGGAAAGGGCTCTGAAGGCCAGCTGAATCAAGCAGCCCATTCCGGCTCTCTCAGAAACAGGAGTATCTGTGCCTTAGGAGCAGCTCGGGGTCAGGCTTGGGTTGAACCATGCTGAGCTGCTCGGAGGAAGTCACATTACAGGGTATGCAGGCCAAAAAGTTGCAGAAAAAGAAGAGAGAATGCAGGAAGGATTAAGAGAAAAATTATACTAGCCAGAGGGTGAAATCAACAGTGCAGAGCTGTCAGATTGGTTACCAGTCATATTCACATAAGTCTCCAATCACATTATATAAAGAAGGCAAGGGATATACTGCATTTTCAGAGTAGAGGAGCAAGAGAGAAAATTAATCTTTTGCAAACTTAGTGAGTTGCCTATACATCAGGGGTACCCCAAACTTTTTCATATAAAGGGCCAAAAACCAAATATCATTATGAGCCCTGGGCCGAAGGTAAATACCAAACTATTACTACTCAAAAAAATATTGAAACAACAGAATGTAACTCCAAGTTTTCAGTTTTTTTTTTGAGCAGTATATACGTATTACATTAACATTACTGATTTATTTCATAATAATTAAAAAGAAAAAAATACTTTAAATTGTATTAACTAATGTAATATAACTTTTAGAATGATAATATTATTGCAATAAAACAAAATAGTGAACAGAGGAGTTCAATGCTGAATACACTAAAGCAGAATCTGCCTTTGCCTTGATTCGCTCACCAAAGTCTCTGCATTGTCCTCTATCTATCAGGTGTAAGTATTTACGTTTAAACTTAATCTGATTATTCTGGAATATTAAATTGAAACATTTAATTTCAAAGTTTTTAACAATAAAACAAACAAACAAACAAACAAACAAACAGTTGCATTCGATTTGAAATAATCTCAGATACACTCTTAGAAATAAAGATATGCCAGCTGTCACTGGTGTGATACCTTTTTAAAAGATACACATTTGTACTTGAAGGTTCCTTACTGGTACCTAAAAATTATATATTAGTACCTACAAATTTTAAGAGGAACACTTTTGTGCTTTTTATTTATTAAGGTTACAAATTATTGTCTTTCAAATAAAAGTTGTTCTTATAGCTTAATGCATATATATGTTTAAAGGTGCACTATAATGAAAATGTGGGTAAACCAAGGCATAGTACAATAATGAAAGATCAATATACAGAAATAGGCATACTGTGAGCCTTAGACACTACTGCTTTCTCGTTCTCCGGTAAGTTCCACGAGTGTAAAACCCCGGTTGACAAAACAAAACAAACTGTGACAAGGCTCATAGGCCATGCCCTTCGCATTTGCATGTATGCCTAATTTGTGTCGTTCATCCGTATACAGTTAAAGTCAGAATTATTAGCCCCCTTTTCATTTTTTTTCTTTTTTTAAACATTTCACATATGATTTTTAATAAAGCAAGAAAATTTTCACAGTATGTCTGAAAATATTTTATTCTTCTATAGAAAGTCTTTTTTGTTTTATTTCTGCTCGAAAAAAAAGTTTTTAATTTTTTAAAAAACTTTTTGGGACAAAATTATTAGCCCCTTTAAGCAATAATTTGTTTCCAATAATCTACAGAACAAACCATCATTATACAACAACTTGCCTAATTAGCCTAACCTGCCTAGTTAACCTAATTAACCTAGTTAAGCCTTTAAATGTCACTTTAAGCTGTATAGAAGTGTCTTGAAAAATATCAAGTTAAATATTATTTACTGTCATCATGGCAAAGAGAAAATAAAAATTAAAATTAAGTTTTAAAAACTATTATGCTTAGAAATGTGCTGAAACAATCTTCCCTCCATTAAACAGAAATTGGGAAACAAAATAAACAGGGGCGCTAATAATTCAGGGGGGCTAATAATTCTGACTTCAACTAATATATATATATATATATATATATATATATATATATATATATATATATATATATATATATATATATATATATATATATATATATATATATATATATATATATATATATATATATATATACATACAAGTAGTGTACATTAAGGCAACTCACTAGGTTTTGAAATTGAGCTACTACAGTATGTGCAATGAACAAAACCAGATTGCAACAACATTTATTAAAAGCACAACACAACTAACAGCAAAAAAGAGTCTGATCTCACCTGTCTGCGGAGTGTGCGTGAGAGAGTGTGTGCCCGCCGAGGTGGGGGAATTCGAGGGATGCTCTCTGAGTCTGATAAACTGTGAGGACTGATGGGTCTGAACAGATCGCTGGGCACCGTCAAGTGCTGGCTGGCTTCTTCTGTTTGAGACTGAACAGAAGCTGTAGACCCTGAGACACATTTAATAAGACAATTACTGACCTCTGCATTAACAACCACGGTTAAATCAGATGTAGAAGTAAAATACGGTGCTGCACCTGTCTGAGCGAGGTGAGGTGAGGTTGTGTGGGTGCTGTGGTTTGAGTTGGACTGCAGCGGCAGGAACATGTAGCTGTCATTAGGTAGAGAATGTGTGCGGCCCACTGAGGTCTTCTTCACGGATAGCAAGTGTTCATCCGTCGGTTCATCCGCCTGCCGGGTGTCTGGTGGATCTGAAGGATCTGTGGTCTGAGGAGCATTAAAAGAAAGTGAAGGTTAGAGTTGGTACTTGTGTTTTGGAGAGTTAGGGGCCCTTATGAACACATGGACGCACACGCAAACACATTGTACCTAATACATAGAGGCTGGACTGGTTAGCATACGATGAAAGGCAAACATCACTACGCACTAGACACAGGGAGGAGACTGATCTAGAAACATGTTCTCATCAATCAGGTCGTATCAATGCAAATGCATTTTTCTTCTATGTCAGTTAATGAGACTTTTCTTATCCCTGTATACTAAATGAACATTGGTGAAACAATCTTTTTTTTCATATTTATGTAAAAATCACTCTCAGAATTGGTGTCTGGACGTGTGACAATTTTATTATTGGAAATTTATTTCTAAAAGTTTTTTTTTTTCAAAATGAAGAGCTTTGGCATCTTGGTTTAATTTACAAATTTGCAATATTTTCTCAATGTCAATCATAAAAAATGTGAAATGTTTTTGTTATCCTTTGCGAGGTCTTAGAATTCTGTATATTCTGTTTGTTCTAAGCAGGGCTCACAAAATCCAGAGGCCCAGAGGTATTGTTTTTTTAGTTGGCCAACCAAAATCTATCTCCGCCTGCCCGGCAGGCCAGTGGGAGAAAATATATATTTCAATGCCTTTACATTTTCTCACAGAGTGGATAATTATGTACAGTTGAAGTCAGAATTATTAGCTCCCCTGAATTATTAGCCCGCCTGTTTATTTTTTTCCCCCAATTTCTGTTTAACAGAGAGACGATTTTATCAACACATTTCTAAACAAAATAGTTTATTAACTCATTTATAATAACTTATTAATTTTATCTTTGCCATGATGACAATAAATAATATTTTACTAGATATTTTTCAAGACTCTTCTTTACAGCTTAAAGTCACATTTAAAGGCTTAATTAGGTTAAGGCAGGTTAGGGTAATTAGGCAAGTGTATAATGATGGTTTGTTCCCCTTCGGGGGGAACTTCAGCACTATAAGTGGATTTGATTGTAAAATCCACGCATTGGGAGGTTCGGTTCAGAAGCTACTCGTCTGAAAGAGTATTGAACGGGCCAATTAAGAATGAATTGGCAGCGCAAGCCTGCGCAGGTGAGCGGCATAAGCAATCAACTGAGTATATAAGCTCACCTGGCGCCAGCAGACGCTATCCTTTTCGCTTCAGAGACTTTCTGATCGAGTCGATGAGGGTTCCTCCTGCTGTGACCAGCGATTCTGAGCGAACGAGAGCATTCTCCCGGTCCAGAGTGTGTACACGCAGCGGCAGATGGTCGAGCTGGGTTTCTCCCTTGCCTGGCGTTCTTTGGGTCCGGTCCTCCAGAGCGGTGCGTATAAAGTTGCAAACTTCACAGAAAGAGCAACACAGTCGTGCAGCACGTCCTTTTCAGGACGGCGCTCCGACTGTGCGTTTCTGGATGCGGTGGTTTCCTGTCCTCGGATGATGGGCGCGGGCACTGCGTTACATGTCTGGGGGTCCAGCATGTTAATGCGCTGCTCGCGGGCAGTTCATGTCGTCATTGCGATGCCATGACTGTTGCGCAAGATCGCGGTTAGCCTTTGCAAAAGGGCGAACCACCCCAGTTGTCCCCTGCTCTGCAGCGGGCACTCGGGCAGATCTGAGGGTTTCAGCGAGAGATAATCCGTCGCCCACGGGCCCGCGGACCTCCCGCTCCTCTAAGCGCTCCATCCAAGCTTCGGGCGGGGGAAGCGATCCGTCTAACAGATGGTAGCCCTTACGCCCGATGACACCGGAGACCAGATGTCCACCGCGGCATCGGAGGGTGGGCTTTCATTGTCCGATGATGATCCAGACCCGCTCGCCCCCTTCGGGCTGGTGAGCGCTGTCACTATGGATCCTGAAACGGACATGTTAGCCGTGCTTTCCCGGGCTGCTTCGGCCGTGGGTTGGAGATGGTTTATCCCCCAGCTCCGCGGCCGGACCGACTAGAGGGGCGTTCCCCTCTTCCCGGAGGTGCACAGTAGGCTCACGCGGTCTTGTAAAGCACTTTTTTCTGCTCGTGCTGCGTGTTCCTCCACCCTAACCACTCTTGACGGTGAAACAGCCAGGGGGTATGTGGCGATTCCTCAGGTTGAGTGCGCGATGGCGGTAAATCCGCGCGGCGCCTCTTCTTGGCGGGGTCCGCCTCGTCTCCCATCCAAAGCCTGTAAGTTATCTACCTCCCTCGGAGCTAGAGCTTACATAGCTGCGGGCCAGGCTGCTTCCGCCTTGCATGCGATAGCCACCTACCAGCGCTACCAAGCGCAGGCGCTGGCCGAGCTGCACGAGGGTGGGTCCAACCCAGGCTTACGAGCTTCGCACCGCCGCCGACTTAGCTCTTCGGACTACTGAGTTCGCTGCGTGTGCGTTGGGGAGGACGATGTCCACATTAGTGGTCCAGGAGCGCCACCCCTGGCTGATATGCGCAAAGTCGACAAAGTCCGCTTTCTTGACTTCCCCATATCCCCAGCCAGGTTCGGCGACACTGTCTGTGAATTCACCCAGGAATTCAAGGCGGTGAGAGAGCAGTTGGTGGGTGATGTCTTATCGGCGGTCCGTAGCCCGCTCCGCCCGCCGTGCCATTCATACCTGCTCCTCGCCGAAGGCGCCCGCCTACGAGAGCTGCTCCGCCCCCGCACATGCCTCCGGCGAAGCGAGCGCGTCGGGCACCTCGGAAGCAGGCAGCCCCCCTGCCCAGAACGCCGCTAAGTCCGGCAACGGACCGCGAAGCGCCCCTGGGACAGGCCATCTGGAGAAGAGGGAACTTGCTCTTTCCCCGCTGGAGGGCGGGGCCCCATTTCCAACGGCACTTTTTACTGCCATGAAAACATTATGAAAGGGCACTTTTCACTTCCCCAGATGTGACAGCCCAAAATCTGCCAGTCTGGGACGCTATGCTTTCTAGCTTGCAGATTCGGTGCGTTTCGCCAGTGGCTCACGAGCGCTGGGAGGACGGTCTCCTTTCTCCCACCCCTCGAGCCTCCCCTCCGGAGCTTGGGTTTGGAGTGAGAGCAAATATCTCACCTCCAGCTTTTCCGTGGGACCCGCGAGCTTCCCGGATCAGCACACCCACTCCGCGCTGCCCCACTGCTGGTACGTCAGCGATTGTAGCGATGAGTCCATTAGCGAGAGCTCTGCCTGCCTGGTTAGCGCGGGCCAGCTCTTCGCGGTGGCTCATACGCACAATCAGACTCGGCTATGCGATTCAGTTCGCGAAACGGCCCCCCAAGTCACGGGTGTGTATTCACCAGGGTCAGCCCCCTGTCCGCCCCTGTCTTGCGAGAGGAGATTGCTGTCCTCCTGGCGAAGGATGCAATCGAGCCGCTCCCTCCAGCCGAGATGGAGAGCGGGTTTTACAGCCCACACTTCATCGTGCCCAAAAAGAGCGGTGGGTCACGGCCAATCCTAGATCTGCGCGTTTTGAACCGCTGCCTGCACAAGCTGCCGTTCAGAATGCTCACGCAGAAGCGCATCCTCCGGTGCGTTCGTCCTCTGGGTTGGTCTGCAGCATTAGACCTGATGGACGCGTATTTCCATGTCTCCACTCTTCCTCGCCACCGACAGTTTCTGCGGTTTGCGTTTGAAGGTCGAGCTTGGCAATACAAAGCCCTCCCCTTCGGGCTCTCTTTGTCTCCGCGGGTCCTCACCAAGCCCGCGGAGGGTGCCTCAGCGCCCCTTCGGCTCGCGGGCATCTGCATACTCGATTTCTTTACGACTGGCTGATTTTTGCCCTCTCTCGGAGCAGTTGATTATGCACAGAGACAAAGTGCTCTGGCACTTCCACCTGTGGGGGTTTCAGGTCAACCGAGAAAAGAGCAAACTCGCCCCCGTGCAGAGGATCTCTTCTCTCGGGCTGGAGCTGGACTCGGTCACCATGGCAGCGCGCCTCTCCGGAGAGCGCGCTCAGCTGATGCTGTACTGTCTGAGAGAGCTCGACAGTAAAACAGTGGTCCCACTGAAACTATTTCAGAGGCTCCTGGGGCATATGGCATCCGCAGCCGCTTCATGCCGCTCGGATTATTCTATATGAGACGACTTCAGCACTGGCTGATCACGATCGAGTCCCCAGACGCGCATGGCACGCGCACGCACACCGAGTCTCTGTTACTGCGCTGTGTCGCCGCGCCCTCAGCCCTTGGAGCGACCCCTCGTTCCTACAGGCCTGGGTGTCTCTAGAACAGGCGTCCAGTCTTGTTGTCGTTTCAGCAGACGCTTCCAACACGGGCTGGGGGGCTGTGCGTTGCGGGTATGCGGCTGCGGACCTGTGGAAAGGTACCCAGTTGCATTGGCATATCGCCTGGAGCTGTTGGCAGTGTTCCTCGCTCTCCACCGTTTTTTTCCGGTGCTGGAGCGGCAACACGTGCTGGTCAGGACGGACAGTACGGCGGCGGTGGCGTATATTAGCCGTATAGGGGGTATGCGCTCTCGCCGCATGTCTCAGCTCGCCCGCCGTCTGCTTCTCTGGAGTCATCCGCGGCTGAAATCGCTGCACGCCATTCATATTCAGGCAAGCTCAACCGTGCAGCCGATGCGCTCTCACGGCAGCCTTGCGTCCTGGAGAATGGAGACTCCACCCCGAGTCTGTTCAGCTGATATGGGCGCGATTCGGGGAAGCCCAGATCGATCTGTTGCTTCCCCCGAGATCGCTCATTGCCAGTTGTTCTTTCCCTGACCGAGTGCTCTCGGCACGGATGCACTGGCTTACAGCTGGCCTCGGGGCACGCGCAAATACGCGTTTCCCCCAGTGAGCCTGCTCGCGCAGTTACTGTGCAAGGTCAGGGAGGACGAGGAACAGGTTGCTGGTTGCGCCCCTCTGGCTCAACCGGACCTGGATGTCAGAGCTCTCCCTCGCGATAGCCCTCCCCTGGCAGTCCCTTCGAGAGAGCACCTACTCTCTCAGGGACAGGGCACCACCTGGCACCCTCGCCGATCTTTGAAGAGATTTTTAGACGCGAGGAAGACTTAGATAACCTCCGATTGCGGTGGCT